CCAGTTCGTCAGCCGCACAAATACACATATCCGTAGACTGAAGCACGGGAACACGGACGAACGGACAGACCGATCCATCGATGGATCGGCAGAGGCCAGGCAAAGGACGTTAGGGTAGACGAGCAGCTGACAAAACAGATAGTCGGACCTGAAGAGTGGTTTGAGCCAGTGCTGTGACTTTGAACATCGTCAAAAGCGCTCCTTGACGTGTTATGTATTTGGATGGTTTCTTCTTCTCCGCTGGCTCAGCTGATTGAGAAATCCTCTTCATCGATGTGTCCGTTGTTGTCATCTCCTGCTCGTGTCCGTGGGCTCTCCGGTCAGAACTCGGGAAGGAAAGTTTCTCGAGCTACGACCGCTGTTAGCTACGGAACAGGTCCTCTGGTTTCGATCGCCTTTGTCATCGTTTCTTTATAGCCCACGGAGCAACAGAACGTTTCTTCTTCTCCGATAAGAGCCAAAAGGGGAACTGTGCCGGCAGAAGAAAGTTGTTGACGTTCCTCCTCTGATTTTCTTTCGCATTTCCCCGGGACAGGGCGCCTCCATCGTATCAGTGACCAAGGTGGAAAGTGTCGGAGATGGACACGCGAGCTGGCTGCATTCTTCGAGGGACCGAATCTGATCCTGCCGCATGATAGCCCCCCCCCCCCTCTTGCGGTCGCGAGTAATCACAAATACCGGTTCCTCACCTGGTAAATCCAACGCTTGCTGATCTCAAGAATATAAAAATTTACTTTCCAAATTATAGGTGCCTCCATTAGGCTCGTTGATGGGTGCTTTCGCTTTACGTAACAGATGTCATGGATCGCTTGGAAACGTAATTCTGGGGGCTGGTCAGAACCGACGTTTTTTTCAGTCTATACTTTGATGGAGGGGCGGTGACTTGGAACTTGCGATCGTTAACTTTATTTGCGGTTTCGTCAGAAGAAATGAAAGCATAAAAACGGACGAGAGACCGAACGTGAGCCTTCCGAGTCGGCGCACGGCGTACAGCTTCGCACAGATTTTCCGTGAAACGATTCGCCGCCTGACGGTTTTACTGTTTGATGGAATGGCTGACTGACACACTGACGACCGATTGACTGAATATCCGTCCAAAAGGCTGTCGAACAGTGCGCCGGTTATCCTTTGACGTACTCTCGGGTTATTTGAAGTAATCCACTGCCGCGTTCGACGACTTCAAACAACAAAGGATCGAAAAACCGATGTTCCGTTTCGTAATGAGAGTCCACCGTCGGCGATCATGAACTCGCCCGCAATCCTTCACTCACTCATTTCTTTCGAGTGTCTGTCGATCCAGTTCGCTCCAAGGAACGGATTGGCGGCATCGGATGCAGTCGCAGCGGTGGTATCCGCGGCTGGAACAACCCTCAACCCGATTTAATGTTTCGAAATCCAGCCGCGCGGATCTGCAGATCAGCGCATGTCACGTGTCAAAGTTGTCATCTTCACGTGGACGGTGCTAAACGTCGACGTGGCGTGACTTCGTGTCTGAAGGTGCGACTGCATGGCGTGCTTTCGCCTTGGGCTCCGGCATATCAAATGAATCGTTAAATGAACAGAAACCCCTCATCTCAGGGGAGGGTACTTATCGCAAACAGACCCTCAGGAGACGCCACAGAGACCAGGCATCAATGCCGAAATCTCCGATTTCCAGCGGGTGATCCACCTCGAAGAAATCAACTCCTCACAAGGAGCTGTCCATCGCTGAGTATGAATCAGATCAATGAATCATTGGGGTGTGGGTTCGCTGGAAGAATACGGATAATAGCACTTGCGTATATCGAGTCACTCGGGCGTACTAAAGCAATCGCTTAGCAGCCCATCATTCATGGGAATGGAGCTCTGAAAGATCAGAGGGCAACTTCCAGCGCGTTGCTCGAGCGTCCTAGGATCTCGTAACATGCAGTATAGCCGCCTTCCGGCCAACCAGTCACTCGTTCATTTAGTTTCGATATCGCAAGGATCTCATTCAGACAACTGGATTGCTGCATTTCCAACAGAAAGCCGCGGCTAAAACTCGGTGATGAGAAAAACCGATCGACGTCGCCTCTCGATGACAATAATGAGGTTCGAGCAGAGGGAGGAGGAGAGCCAATTCTCAAGGTATTTTCAATTCGACTTCTTCGCAATCGCGGCCCGATGAGAGAATGGGACGTGTGCGTTTATCCTTGAATTTTGATTCCCATTCTCATTCGAATCTGTTCACACACTCACGACTGCACAATGGCGTGACAACCCGTTTGATTCCGAAGTGTTTCCCGATAAGGGAGAAGAAGAATGCCGCTTAGCAATCAAATTTTCGGAAGTTGATTTTTCCGCTCTTGTCAATTTCGTCTCCATTTACGCCATCGAGAAAGTCCTCATGACCAATCCCTCCGGTCCTCGCTCTTGCCTCAGCCATCCCTTCGACTGGCTTCTAGTAGTGTGAATCCGTTGGACCGAGAGGGATGCTCCCGTACAGAAACGGCGTGGCGCCAAGAAACTGGCGTCGGTCCTAAGAAAAACGATCTTTTGGTCAGTGACAGAGTTTTCAAGTTCACAAGAATATTCTCACACTGAGGGGAAGGGCCGAGATGATTCCCACTCGAGGTACCCCAAGTTCTTGTGGTTAGCAGGCATGCATCACTTTCCATGGAAGAGCTCGCGGCCCCAGAGCATGCGGCCCATGAGGATGGGCTCGAGAGGAGAATTTTCTGCCACCCCCCGCCCTCCCAGTTCCTTTAGAATTCGACTGACTTCTGGAGGATCCGACGCGCCTCGACCATTCACCCCTCGAGAAGGAAAATGGAAACTACTCCCGGAACCCTCCGATGCTCTCAATAGACTCAGTCCGATTGCCCTATCTTCGCTCGCTTCAGGATGCTTCCAGTGTTTGTGGATTATGATTAGCACTCTATTAGCGGAGCTGACGTATTTCTTACATAATTTGCGCCCGTAAGGACACTTCATGACTGGGTCGACTCCTTGATCATCAATAATTGTGTTGCTCACGGAAATCCGAGCTTCGGATTCGTCGAATTCTCTCGAGCACAAGCAGTCTGTCTTGTGATGTGTGCAGGAATTGAATTCCACTCGCGATACTTCCATCCACCTCGGAGGTACTCCGACAACGTCTGCTGCGGAGTATTTTCGGAAACATCGGATGGAGCTGTGTCGTCGACCCTCGACTCTGAAAAAATGAGCCGACAGAAGAAAGAAGTTTCCTTCCCTTGGCTTCACCATGACGCGATGAATGATATGATAGCGGAGTCCTTCTCGACAGCGGTCTGCCACGCACCGGTGGACTTCGGCTCTGTTGACATCGGTTCTGGCAGATCTCCAAGTGAGGGGGTCTCACGGCCAATGCTAAACACAGGGGTGGGCGGTCAGGGGATTTGGGAGCTGGACAACGTCAAAAAATGAGCCGGCTGCTTCCATATCCACAGAGAATGCTTGACGTAAGTCCACTGACTCTTGCGTCATATTCAGACAGCTTGTCCATCAGCTAGTCAGCCACCTTGCCAGACGATTAGCCTTCGAGCTTTCGTGGCAGCTAAGGAAATAAACGATGAAGTCGATAAAACTCATCGTCTCCCTCTCATCGAGAGCTTTCGGCTCGAATCGACGAACTTCTATGACTCAGTTTATGGCTTTCGCAGGAGAGGGGATGGGATGGTATGTGGAGACTTTTTCGAGAGCGTTCGACCCGCTCAGAATGCTCGGGAACGGCACCGGCTCATGGTCTCTCAAATTACCTATGACACCGGTGTCCGAGGCTGAAAAAAGCGCAGGACGCGAATTTTTCGAAAAGTTCGGACGCCCATATCGATCGAGCATTGTCAGCGAATATATTTCGAAAATTTTGAAACACTACATAATTTCAAAGTTTCCGATTGAATTCACGAGCCGCGAAGGATATCCGAATATTCGATTCCGGCGGCAGTTCAGCTCACAAGAGATTTAATTGGAACGTTACGTAATGAGAAACAGATCGTGAGGATCCACGTCTCGTCGTCGACATCAATCGCGTATCGTCATGAGAAATCAGAACTTGTCGGCCGGACGGAACGAAATGAAAATAGAAAATAATTCCCACTGTCAAGGCGAAGTACCGACTAAGCTAACCCTGGATGCCATCACTATGACCACAATTAAACACGTTGGAAGCGCTGGGAGCCTTGACACAGAAGAAAGTTTCTCAAGAATCTTCGGCACGCTCGCTGACGCAACTGCGTCTGTTTTCGCTTCTAAATAAAGAACCGTGAAAAATCATCGTATATTTATCCCATGGACTCATCCCCGTGAACAATCAGACGGTGAAGACACATAGATGGGATTTAGATGATCGATTGAGATGAACCTGCTAGATCTCTCTCTCGGATGGTCGATTACGAGACTCGTCCAAGTCAAAGATCCATATCAAGCATGTCGCGGAAGAATTTATATTGTAGAATGGAATTCTCCGAAAGAACGTGATGTAACGGCTGCTGACTCTTGCCGCCTCGCCTTAGAGCTTCTGCGACACTTTCTCATCGCGAATGAGAAGTAGCATCTCTCAACGGTTGCGTCCCAAGTTCACTCGAATATTGCCCTATCAGGATCGATTCCATGTGGGGGAGAAAAACCCTGGTGCTCCGCGTGATTGTCGCTCAGCTCGCAGAGGGAATCGCTGATAATAATCAGTCCGACTAGTCGATGAGGAAAAACTTTAGCTACTGTGTCTAAGTGTTATTCTGTGCCTGCCTGAGTGTCGCCTGCTTCTCCTCCATCGCCGCACACGACGAGACCGTTATTGCGTGTCCGTTACAACGTCTTGTGCATCGGAGTAGCGGGGAACGTCGACAATGCGTGGAGGAGGCGGTCAGGAAAAATCTGTTACCTCAGAAGGAAGCAGACGAGACAGCAGAAAGACAGAAGATTAGAATAATATGTTCACTAGTCTGCGTGAGAAGAGGAGAAAGCCCACCGGCTCTTGCCGAAGCCTATCGATGGTAGTGGAAGACGGTCCCCGGACTTACTTTTTTCAGATCCACTGTCATCAGCTGGCTTGTCTGCCCCTTAAAGAATTTGATCGCGAGCATCCACATCACCTACAGAACAAGCTAACTTAATTAAATGTTCTCAGAGACATCACTCACGCAAGCGAAACGAGAGCTGACGCAGATGTAACTTGAGGCATCCAGATCAATCAAGTTAGGTAACCGAAATTCGGATTGACGAACGTAATGTCAGTCATGCGCAAAAACTCAAAGCAGAGGAAAATGTTTCCCTCGTACCAAGTCCAATTATTGTTTTTGACGAAGACCGTCGGATATGAATCAGTGGAAGTTGACGAAAATCACGATCTGGCAATGGTAAGAGAGGCACCAAAGGAATTCATTGAATACATGCATCGGTAGCTCACATGCGATGAACTTGCTGAACGCGGCGCGGCCTCTTCTTCCACGTGGCTTCCTGCAGTAATAGCTCAAAGCAAGAGTCGGAGTCAGAGGCGAACCTGCAGGCACCGCGCTCTCTTATCTCTTCTCCCTTCTCTGGATTTCCTTTGGAGATGTCCCCTTCTCTCGAGCTGGAGTTCAGAAAAAAATGTTTGCCGGCGCTGTCGAGAGGGCCTGGTCGCGGGATGAAAAACACGTATGGGTGCGCCAGGAGCGACGAGCTGAGCTCAGGGTGGAGTCTGGGGCGACGTCGTTAATTGTATCCAGGTCAACATCCAATGACTCCGCTCCGAAATACGTGAAACTTTGACAACGAAGCACGAATCCGTGGGTCTACAGAGCTTCTGTTCTCCTCCGATGGACCACCGGATCGTGCACGCACCCCAATTCGAACGGCACCCGTGTGTGAAAGTTGATTCCCCTTCAGAGGAATAATCCAAGAAATTTCAGAAACACCATAGAACAAGTCGCGTCGCGAGCAGCCGTTGTGGCTGGGAGGTCCGATACAGGGAGCTCAGTCAGAACGGTCGGGACGAATGATTTCTCTGCGTTGATCCCATATTTTGATATTTTTTTTTATGTGATTGAATGGTGCTTATTCGCTACCAGCGGGATATCCAGATATTGACTCTCCAACCTAGAACTCTGAGAGGCGCTTTCCTCATCCAACCTCGCTCATGCATCCGAGCGTGGATCGCATTAGCTGTAAGAAATCGACTAGAGCTGACACAGCAAAGGGAACAGCGACATTAGGACACTGATACGGGAACTTGGAGATTCGCGTGATTATCTCGATGTCTGCCTGTTAGTGGGGAGCCGCACACAGAGTAGACCGCTCCCTCAGTACGCGGCCAAACTCCCAGACTGGCGAGGGTAGATGATCGATCTTCATGTTCTTGAGGTTTGAAAAGCGTTCACTCATCGGAGCTCCGCAGAACTTCGTCGACAAACGTTATCCACCCACACGCGTATTCCCTCTACGAAACTCACCACTAGAAATTCGTTCTTGTCGACCCTCTGGTTTCCGTCCGTATCGAACATGTTGAAAGCTATCCTGAATCCGGAATGAGGTTCTGAAACGAGCAAGCGGAGGCACTCAAGATCTAGTGGCTTTTTTCGAACATGCTGAATCTGGATAGCTATGAGATTTATTCCGGTGCCAAACTATTGCATGCTATCAGAGAATCCACTCACTCGTCAACACAGACAGCAGGAACAAATATTCGGTGTACGAAATGATTCCTGCATCGTTCAGCTCTCGGAATAGTTTGGTACTGCCTTTTTTCTTCGGGATCGTTGAATCTATGAGTTTGTCAAAATCTTTCCGACTCAATTTCCGCCGACTTATCCGAGCTGGAAGAGAATAAGAAATTATTGCAGTAAGCGATTCATGATCCGCATGATTGCCGCAGCGGAAATCATAACAACAAGCATAAGCTATAACAAGTCATACACATGATACGACGTTTTTATAGATCGGCAAGACATCGAGCTTCTCCGAGGAGTCGCTGTCACGGCAGCTCGGAGGAGAGTCTAGTATAGCTGTCCCGAATAAGTTCTGAGCAGTTTATTTGATAGACTGATAGTCGAATGTGGGTCCTTGTCTATAAATATTCAGAGATCCATTGTCGGAGCATAGAAACTCTCCATTCGAATCACAAGGTCCTGGGGAATAGTACGAATCGAAACTATATTCCTCGAGAGTCTTTCCATCGACGGGAGGCTTCTCTAGGGATCAGATTCGTATGGGAAGCGAGACGAAGTGTGGCGGAATCTGATGAATAGAGGCCCGCCTGTTGCAGAGAGGATCTCTCCGTGGGAATCATGAGCCATTGAGCTTGCGCCCAGGTATGCAACGGCGGAATAAATAAGCATAGCTCGAAGGAATTCTTCTCAGCGCTGTTATCTCAGCGGAGCAGTAGATATGACGTGGAGAAGTCTTCCTCGCAGGGAGCTCGAATCTTCCTCTTCTGTCGATATAAGTCGCAGCACGTAGGCTCCGCGAGCACCGGTCGGATTAATGCATTACGTTCCGCCGTAGAGGGCGCGAACGGTACGACGATAGATAGCAACCCATGTGGGAGCTCTGCAAAACCGGACCCCTTACTGGGTAACACTTGCTAGCATGACCGAGAGGAATAAAGCAACTTCAAGCTATTTAAGTCACAAGGAGATGGAGCCGATTTTCGGCTCCGATTCTGACAGACCTCGAATGCTACAGTTGAGGACTTTCTCCTTCGCCCGAAATGGGGTGACATACGTTAGCTTTTTTGAACAAGACTAAAGACGCCATTGGGTAAACATCACGTAGGGCCCCTTCCATCCGTGTGGGTTCCCCTACTGGGTTAACACTCGATTCAGCAGAGCGTATGTAAATCTTGTCGAAGAGGGCGAAAGAAACTGACTGTGACGCTACTGAGTCGGCACATCATCCGGCGTGGAGGGAAGACGACATGGATGAGCTTCCTCCGAGACATGTACGCTCTCATTCTCCCTTTAGGTGAAAACAACAAGCGAAACGTCTCTCCGACGTCCATCCCGCCCAGTCTCAAGGGAACTCGTTGTGTGTTCATAGGGAGTCGTTCCCCTCGACTTTCCCGCCTTGCCGGGCAACTTGCGGGAAGATTTTTCTGCACAGTAAAAACTTTCTGTGTTCTATCAACACCGTTTTCTCGAGCCATCGTCCCTTGGCCTGAGAATAATGTTCGCTCCTCGTGCACTACAATCTAGTTTTTGTCCACGAATCGGTTCGAATAACCTTTCCCGGACATAAGCCGCCTTTGAAAGAGGGATTCGAGAATTCCTGTTTAAACTTTCTCATTAGCGTCCTCACACCGGGGCCTCGATGGGTGTTCTCTTTCTCTAAGCGTTCGCGATGTACGCCATCCGATCCGACGAGTCGAAAGCTCCGACGCTGGGTGCCATCAACGCGTAGAGAGTACGCGAACCGTTTTCGGTATATCCAGCTCAGCGGATCGGCACTTGCTGCGCCCTTGCCGGACGGGTTCTCGTCGACACGATGCGCAGGACTGCACTTGCCGTGTCACTGCTATTCAACCCTCGAGGCTTCCCACTCTCTTCCCGGCAATTGTTTCGTAATTAAGTTGTTTCAGCATAATCCGTCGCAGACTAAATCGTGGGCTTCGTGTCCGGACACTGTCCACTGCGAGCGCACACGACCAACCTCCTTTCGGAGTCGGAATCGCCCCACTGTTCCTCGCATCGGGCAGCGCGTTCGAGCGGGATCCGCTTCACGGGGAATCAAGGCCGCCCCGAAATCTCTTCCTCGGACCCGAGCTTGGGCCCCGAACCTCGACGACTTTGGACTTTGCGGGGCGATAGAAGCCGTAATCTTTTTGCGGAATCCCTCTCGTCGGATATCTCATTCAGAAAATACGGGCGCTAACCCTACGCGGTCGACGCAAATTGCGCGTTGAAAGAGGTGACTTTAGTTCCGCTTGATTTGCGAGCCTCTTGCACCGTGAAAGACAGAGATGGCCACAACGGTATGTTGTGAGGTGATTGAGGCCTTTGAGCGAAGGGGCGCGGTGAGCATTATTCGAGTTCCCGCTCAACAGAGTGTGTGTTCGCCACCGCAATCAATGGAGTGTGTCCTGGACCGATGAATCAAGACGAGCCCGTTCGCTAAGCGATGCAGCGTAGACCGCGTATTCTGTTGGAGAAAGGAGAGGACGTCCCTCCAGGCAACTTCACTCACCGTGAGGAATACAGAAGAAGACAGGGCTCCAATACACCACAAGCAGTAAGAAAAATGAAAGCAGCTGGAAGTGTTGCGGCCATTGATGGGTAGAAAAGGTTCCAGGAAAGAATCAGAACTTTCTCGTATCGCTCTGCGGGCCTCCTCCTACTGGGAACTCTCGGCGGCACAATAGACCATCACATGGACCAGAAGAGATGAGAGCATCCCCCCTTCCATTGAGCATCACAAAAGTTTTTTTTATATTGACGTTCGCTCGTATCCCATCTGACCACTCTCAACTGATGTTCCAGGCCGTCTTCTTTTTCTCCGGCGAATAACGAAGGCTGCGCATACCGGGGAGCGGAAAGTGAATGAACGGCAAACTTCAGCCCGGATCCTTATATCCGTATAATTAAGTCATTCAATTAAAATTGGTTGCGGAGCAGCTATGGGACCAGCGCAACTCTTCATTCTTTATTCCCAGGAGATTCGTTCCCCTCTCGCTATTCGATACTCTCCTCACAGCTCCATTTCGATTTCAGAAATTTCCAGAAAAAAAATTTTGGGCGGGTTTGGTTGGGAACCAAACCTATTCCCACGTGAACCACGTTCGGACGAGTAGATCTGACAATCGGATACGGAAGATTAGAAAGAATAGAACTGGTCTCAGTATTATTAATCAAATCGGTATATTGTATATTCAAGTAGCCGGGCCCAGCGTCGCGTTGCTGCCGCATGGAATAGGTTGAGTGAAGTGTATGATGAGCATGATGAATGATGATGAACTTATTGGTGTAATGATAGAGCGTAGATTTTTCGTCGTTGTTCCGTCCGTATCCGCGTCAAATTCATTGATTTCCCCGTCTACCATCCCGTCTTTGCAGACGTCCCTTTGCGCGTTCCTTCCCCAGTCTCCCTCCCCGTCTCTTTTCCCGTCCCATCTCCCGTTCGTTCCTTCCGGCTTTCGTATGAGAGCCTTGGTATCATGATTCAAAGGAAAATTTTTGATCTTGAGCCGTCCGTTCCTGCATCCTTCCTCTCGTTTACTCTCCCGTTCCGTATCTCAATTTTTCCCCGTAATTCTTCCCATTATCTCTCCCACCCCTTCCCCTTTCCTTTTCTCGACCCTTGTTCCGTTCCTTAGGACGTGTCATGCCGCCCGTGTTTGCGTCAAATTTTCCGTTCATTTTCCCTTGTAACTCTCAGACTGCGCAAGTTTCCAGACAATCGGTCCAGCGGTCTGGACGCGCATCGAGGAGAAACAAAGCCACAAACACTTTACTTTATATATTAGATTAGATTTAGGATGACGGCTTCGGTGAAAACCGTCAGCATCGGTCGATGATAGCTAAAGTAAGACATATGATTTATCGTTTTCTGGTGGGGTTTCTGGTGGGGGGGGTGGTGAGCGCGGGGTACTTATGGAACGAGTCTCCGGGCTTTCTTTGATTGATGAGGGTGAAGTATGGTTTGATGTGGGGTCGAACGGAGACGGAGACAGAGATTCACCATCTTCACTGTCGTTCATTCCAACAGCATAAATATGGCCAGAGACGTTTTCGAAGGTTATTCGAGCATGTAGAAGAGGGGCTGGAACGAATGCGGAGTTACTCGCCGTCGTCTGCTCTGGGCTCTTTTCAAATCTTGCGCGTCTTGGGCACAGAAGTCTTTCAGTGGCGGAGGTCATGGAATCGTTCTTGAGCAGGTGTTTGCCTCCTGGGGAGAGAGTTCTTCGGAGGCAATGATAATAGATATGAGTATTCCATGCAGTGGAGGTGAGTTTTTCACTGGGTGGTGCCTGTCGTCACATCCGTTCCCTTTTCCGTAACGGTGTTTACACAAGTGTCCTTATAGACGTGGTTCACGTCAAAAACAGAATTTTGATACTCTCTTCTTTTCTAGATGGGTATATATCGGTCGAGGACCCAGTGCGATTCCTTCGTCCCTCCTAAAGCGAGTTTTCGTTCGGAAGAGTTGAATCAGCAACCAGATCATATAGTCTTGCTCCCCCCTTCGGTCCACGTTCTCGGAGGGTAGCCAGGGTAACCTTAACTCGACTGCCGTCGAGCATGATGCGGGCGCATTCCGAGAAGCGGAAGCTGGCTTCCCCGGTTCAGACCCGGATTCCCCTGCTGGAGATTACCCTGTTCCCGCGGCATAGGGGATAAGTGTCTACTCCGTCGCTCCAGATCCCATAGGACTTGAGCTGATTCCCGGGGTCTTTGTTTTACTCTCGTCTGGGTGGTTCTTATTTGGTGAATCTGTTCGGCCCGAGTTCCCAGATCTGTTTGAGGGAGCCCTAGACTAGCAGTATAGCCGCAGAGGCTCTGGATCAGATATCTTGTCTAAAATAGATATCACTACGCGACCTTGCTGGTGCGAGATGGAGATTACGGGAGTATAACTTCGATCCAATCCTCACCCAACCAAGTCTCACCATATTGCGTCTCCTACTCCTTCCAGAACGTCTCGAAGTATACTATAGAAATCGGCCACGGGGACTGGAAAGGTCATCTTCGTCCTTGCATACGGTGGTGGTCATACGTGGCGGCCCCAATCTACTCCGAGGTCGCCGTCCCGCAGTTCGCAGATTGTCCATCGCGCGAGACGGGAGATCCGATTTCGCCGAGGGGATTAGTAACAGCCTCCAGGC